TGTGCATGTGTGTGTGCATGTGTGTGTGTGTGTGTGTGTGTGTGCATGTGTGTGCATTGTGTGTGTGCATGTGTGTGTGCATGTGTGTGTGTGCATGTGTGTGTGCATGTGTGTGCATGTGTGTGCATGTGTGGCATTCATACACTATGGATGGTATATATATCTAAAATATGAAAGGGAGATAAGAGATTTAGGGCCCAGAAAACAGAGCTAAAATCACTCTTTCTTTACACAATTCTGGGTGTATTGGGAACCTTGTCAGGAATATCCAACATCCCAAAAGAAAAATGTGTTTGAGGCAAGAGACTCGTAGCTTCCCTCAAACAAAAATGAAGCAGCTTCATAGCGTGCATTTCCTACCAACCTCAGGCACTGACTGCAAGAAGCTGGCTAGCGTTGCATGGTGCAGCTCTCTATAAGGTATTGGTTTGCCCTCCAACTCTCTGTAATCCTCTGTCAAAAGAGAGGTTATTTCTTTATTTGAGAAAAATACAATAAAAAAACAACTAAATTCTGCCACATTTCTACTATACAAACTTTAATTCAAACACTGCAGCTCTGAAATGGGAATGTCATCCTTAAATGGTAATTATATCTTGGTTCTTGAAACGTAAATAGACTAAGGGATTATATATTTGGATTAGACAATATATATATATCTTCCATAATTTGTCTCCTAAAACCACCCAGTAGTAACCTAGGACAGTATTCACAAAAGGTCATTGAATTTTCCTTAAAAAATTTAAGGACTGTCTTTAAAAACATTCTTTGACTTGAAGATCATCATAGAATTTGTCTATGAATCATTTTAAAGACGGGCTTATGACTTGCACTTTGCAATTCATATTAAACACTTAAATAGAACTAATATTTACATCTTTAAAGACCCTATAATTATAACCCAAAGTAAAAAAATGAAATCAAATGACTATATTAACTATCACATATCTTTTAGATGTTTTCAAAGCACCCTATACATTTGTCATTCTTTTCATCTCACAAGAGCCATGTGAAGGTACATGGCACCATTTGTATTTATCTACGAAAAAGCTAAGTTTTATTCATTTAATGTTTGACAATAAATAAAATTGTATCAGGAAAGATTTCTAAATCCTTAGTGATGTAGAGTTATCTTTACCAACTGTAAAATTGCATTGCATTGTTATTAGCATCTCTGAAGGGACAATTTAAAGACTCCCTTACACGTGTGGGACATCACCAGACCTGTCTTAAAACTTCAATTGAGTCATAGACAAAAACCAGGAGATATGGACATTCTCATGAGGAGTCAGACAAAATTGTGTCTAAGATTTTTTTGTCAAAGAAAAAGTTCGGCATCTATAACCTTCCATGAAAACCGCCTCAGGTTCTGTAAATTCTTTGCTTTAAATCCTTTGAACAACACATTATAAAAGTGAGGTTTATATTCTTAAACAATAGAATAACAGTCTAACAGAACTATAATCTCATGGGAAAAGGCAGGATTTAGCTGCCCATTAACAACCTAACAAATAGAATAATTAGCTTTTAATTATACAACAATGGGTACTATAATCCTCAATGTGTGTATAAACCTCTGTGTGAGATGAGAAGAATTACAAAAAAATAAAGTGGAAAAAAAATCACATCTGTATTTCTTTTCTTAAAGGGTGTTATCCTACATAGCTATCATGAAGATACTCTTTCTCTGTGCCAATTATGCATAGGGTTTGTTAGAGGTATTTTGCATAATGGACATAAATTGACTTATGTGCTTACTTCAAAGTCAATATTGTTGAATAAGAAGATGCAATAAATATGATGCATTTCAAACCAAATATTCCTCCACACATTGGTGAAATGAATGCAACCATTATAAAATTGCTTGCATAAGAATTGGCCGTTATTAGGAATACTCCTGAGCTAAAGAAAAGTGCAACAGACTACTCTCTCTTTCCGGAATGATCATCTCAGGTCATGCTATTCCGTAAAAACAACATCCCTATGCTAACATTGACCAATGATTTCCCATGAAATTCTACAAACAAAAGAGGCCGAGATCAAAAGAGAGTCAACAACTATTATGAACAAGTGCTATACAGATTCATCAGAAGCTTTTGAACTTTCCAGAAAACAAAGTTATTATAAACATGCCATTACAATATCAGAAGTTATTAACCTATATATAAAAAGGGCAGCTACTCTTTTCTGAAAATAGCAATTAAAACTGGCTAATTCTATAAATTAAAACTTATGATTACAGAATATGATATACCCACCACTGTAAGAAGCCCAGTCAAAATTAAATCTAGATAAATTGGCCTGTTCCTTTAACACGGGTATTTTTGCTAAAATCATGGAGTTCAAAAATTTATATGACAAGCTTAAAAAAGAAGAGAATTGTGGCTGTAGCAGTTTGCATTAGGCTTGCACTATCAAGAAAATTGCTAGAAAACAAAGTATATTTGCATGGATCTTGAAAGCATGAGGAAGATCAAACACAAAAAACAAACACACATACACACACATTATCAACAAGGCAAGAGTCCTCCAAGACTTACTGTGTAGTGTTTCCATGGGTATCTCACCCTTGACCGAGTTCAGGCATGCTTTGATGGCACACATGACCTCCTCCATCAACTTCTGTTGGTCTCCCGTCATCTGCTGCTGAGCTGCCATTGTGGCGTCCACTTAAAATGATCACAGCCTTAAGGTATCACGGTTCCTTCCGGGTAGCAAAAATAGGTCTCGAAACTGACGACGGTCTAATTCACTATGAACACAAGCTGGTATGTCTAGCTCATCTCTTCTCACACGCAGACAGTCAGACACACAGAGGTAGTCTCCAATATCTTCTCCTCTTGGTTATGTTGATGCACTTTATAAAAACCTCAGATTTCAAAGTCACTATTTAAAACAAGATTTTTTTTTTTATTGTTTATTATAATAATTATTATTATTTATTATTTTTTGTTTTTTTTTTGGCTTGGGTTCAGTTTGCTTGATCTTTTTTTTTAATTTTTATAGTTATTAATGATCATGTTTTTTTTTATCATACATATACACACATACGTGGTAAAGCTTTCAAAAGTCACTTAAAGCTAGGTGATTTCTTAGACAGCGGATGGGGCAGTCCAACCAGACCGAGCACTTTGTTAATTACAATCTCTAGACTGTAATTACAAGGGCAAGGCTGATCATCTTTGTCACCATGTTACATTACAACACCTGAAAGTATAAAAGATATATATTAAACATGAGCCATAATAAATAGAATTACCAGTAAAATCTTAATTACAACAACAGGGTCTGTGACAACATTGGTAAGAAGATGCAATTATTTACTTATCTTTTCATATAAAAAATCACATATGCATTTTGATTTTTCCCCCTAGTACTACCCTAACTGAATAACTAAACAATTATTCAGGATTATAATTCTTATTACTAAGGATCACTGACCCTTAGTAATAACACTAATAACAGTTACTGACATAACCAAGTCCCTATGATGTTGGAGCCTGAATTTTTTGTTATACAATATTACACAACAGTCTAGACTTTGTGGCTAGGCCTAAGCTGTTGCAGCCAGCCCGCCCACTGCAAGTAAGGATGCATATATAAGTCAGGCCATTATGTCATGATGGCTACAGACGTGCCTGTCATTGAAGGGATATAAATAAATATTTACAAAAAATAAAATATCAATAATATAATCACTAAATCATTATAGACAAAAAAGATATTCAGCTTTATTTCTAAAAAGCCATCATGGAATTCTATTTTTTTCTGAAGCTTGGGGCATGTCACAATACTATAACTGAACAGCACTAGGTAGGGCTTCTACAACAAGTCCCGTTGTGTAACACTTGGAAGTGTTCCCACTGTACTCTGTGTAGCATGCAATGCTGTCGGGGTGGATGACATGTCGCACCTAACTACTGGAATCATCTGCTGACTCATAATGTAAGAATTCTCCTTGATATTTTGAAGTTACTCTTTGTTTTTCATCAGACCTTCTCATCACACAGCTTATTGTGAAATGTAAAATCAAATTTCAGAAAATATACCTTGATTCTGCTTTGTGAATTTCGAAATATCAACAGAAGTATTGACTAAACCACAAAACAATTAACAACTCAAACCTTACACAGTTGAAGCCTTAAACTGTAAACATTGTAAAGATATAAAGATGCAAAAAGACAAATAAATCAAAACATTAGTCACTTTAGTGTCAGTTCAGACTTTGAGAACACATGTCAAGGATAAATTATGCAAAACACATAGCTAAAACAGCTGTAATTTCCAAACTGTCCTGGTTTCCTAAATATTTTTGTTTTTTTCCTAAATAAATTTTAACTTTAATGAAAGAAAAAGAAAGATGAAGAAATTTGTGAGAAAGGAAGAAAGAAGAGAGAGATTCATGGGTAAGGGATAAAATATCTAAGCTGCTGCCTTGGACTAATCTATGCACATCAACAGACTAGAAATCTAAAGGGAGAAGTAGGCTGAGAGGAAAATATGAGAGAGAGAGGAGGGAGGGAGGGAGGGAGAGAGAGGAGAGAGGGAGAGAGGGAAGGGGGAGAGAGAGAGGGAGGGAGGAGAGGAGAGAGAGAGAGAGAGAGAGAGAGAGAGAGAGAGAGAGGAGAGAGAGAGAGAGAGAGAGAAGAGAGAGAGAGAGAGAGAGAGGAGAGGAGAGAGAGAGGGGGAGAGAGAGGGGAGAGGAGAGGGGAGAGAGAGGGAGAGAGAGGGAGAGAGAAGGGAGAGAGAGGGAGAGAGAGGGAAGGAGGAGAGAGGGGAGAGGAGGAAGAGGGAGAGGAGAAGGAGGAGAGAAGGGGGAGAAGGAGAGAGAGGCGAGAGAGAAGAGAGAGGGGAGAGAGAGAGAGGGAGGGGAGAGGGAGAGACAGAGAAGGAGAGAGAGAGGGAGAGAGAGGAGAGAGAGGAGAGGAGGAGAGAGAAGAGAGAGAGAGAGAGAGAGAGAGAGAGGAGAGAGAGAGAGAGAGAGAGAGAGAGAGAGAGAGAGAGAGAGAGAGAGAGAGAGAGAGAGAGAGAGAGAGAGGAGAGAGAGAGAGAGAGAGAGGAGAGAGGGAGAGAGAGAGAGAGAGGGAGAGGAGAGGGGGAGGGGAGAGAGAGAGAGAGAGAGAGAGAGAGGGGGGGAGAGAGAGAGAGAGAGAGAGAGAGAGAGAGAGAGAGAGAGAGAGAGAGAGAGAGAGAGAGAGAGAGAGAGGGAGAGAGAGAGAGAGAGAGAGAGAGAGAGCTCAACTGAGGGAAAGAACAGAAGGGGAGTGGAGACTGGAGGGTGGAGAGGAGAGAGGAGAAGGAGTGGGAGGAAAGTGGAGAGGAGAGTGGAGAGGAGAGAGAGTGAGAGAGGTGGAGAGGAGAGAGGAGAAGAAAGGAGGAGAGGAGAGAGGAGAGAGGAGAGCAGAAAGAGGAAAGTGAAAAGAGGCGAGAGGTGAATGAAGAGTGGAGAGAACACAAAAATCATTGGCAGAGCCCATTTAAAGAAATAATTATCATATGCCCAAAAATCATGCAAAAGAAACCATATTTTGTACAACCAAATTCATAGTTCAGTACTAAATTAATACCATTACTAGATGTTTAGGTTCACTTTAGGCTAAAATACCTGATGACAGATGTTACAAAAAATTATACAATGTTTATCAATAATCGCTCCATGATGAGATACATGTTATAGTAATTACATGTAAATAGGGGACCCAGAAAGTTTACAGAAGAGTAGATTTAAATCTTGGCCATAGTCCCAGGTTGAAAAGACCCTCCCTCAACTAGATTTACACAAAATGAGAAAACAATTTCAAAATCCTCCTGTATTTCATCTTCAGATCCGAAAAGGAATGGAAGAAGAGGGTGTACGAGGGAAAGAGAGGAAATGCAGCACGGTAAACACACGGTAGGTCATCTACCATAGTATCTACACAGTAAACTGTTCTACCATTCACCATTTTATAATACAAGCAATTCAAATCCATAAATGAAATAACTGAAAAATTTATCTATAAAATATCAAAAACATAAGTAGAATTTACACCTGTCAAATGAGACTTCTTTGTTTAGACAATCCTCTCAACCAGAGTAATACCAACAGCTGCATTACCTTCCATAGGCACTATATAATAAGTTTTTCTCTAGGCCTATGTCTACATACAATGATACTTTTAATCTAATAATGATATGAAAAATATGTGGAGGTCAGTTAAGGACAGGCATTCATTAGTACGCCTATGTACCAGGATGACTGTCCAACTTGTGGTAAGGTATACGAAACCACAACAATCAGGATAGATTCATGACATCATGAAAAGATTTCCCCCCCCCTCTCCCTCTCTTTTCCTCCATCCCTCCTACCCACCACCCTTTTCTTTATTTATTTATTTTCAATATGCTGTAACATAATTTCACATATGCCTATGACTTTCATATTCTCTACTCTTGTCAACTATTACTAACCCCTAAATCCTGATAGTACAGACTATTCCAAGTTTGAAATGTAGTTTACAAGGGTAGTAGTATCAACAGGACAGAAGTTGATGCTATAATGAACAGACTGTGTTGTTTTGGCCTAAATCTACAATAACTACTGAGGATTTGGCAAATAAAAAAATTCCCAAGGAGGCCATAACAGCAATCCCATCCATATTAATATGAATTCATTGAATTCTTTTAGTTAACTAAAGGTGGGTCATCATCTTGTCACTAAGGAGTTAATTAGTAGTTTACATATCCTCAACTGATTTTCCTCTTCTTCAGTTTTCAGGAAGTTTTCTTTTTCTAACGTTATCAATATCATTATTACAATAATTACAGAGATTATAATCAGTGTTATTGATAGTTATTCTGGTATATATATCTCCTGGTTATCTATGAAATACTTTCTTTTAGTATATACCAAACTGGTATAAGATTAGACACTTGGTCAGTCCTGTCTGATAGGCCTACCAATAGAAAATAAGTGTTACAAATTTAATTTATGCATAAACAGAGGCTGAAAAGTCTAACAGGACTAGAAGCTAACCCTAACCTATTTATCAATTTGAATGCCACCTTTTTTCTTTTTCTTTGCTAGGACCTTCACCATTAAATAATCTTTTTTTTTTGTCCCTACGGTGCCAAACTTTTATTTAATTTCTCCCTGTTTAAGGTGAAATTATAATCACAAGCTACATTTTCTAATAGAAAAAAAGTTGCTGTTTAAATAATAAATAAAGGAGAATTTTTTTTTTTGTCCAGTCCTGACATCATTTCCAAAAATTCTATAACCATTAATTTTCACAGTGGTTAATGTTACCAAGAGCAACACAGAATAAAGGGAAATAGACACTGCCATCTTATAGAGGATAAAAATATGAATCATAAATAACACAGGTATAGCTGCTGTAGCCTCATATTTATATGAAATGACAATATCTGCTGTATATCACTGCCCAGACTAATTCCACAAAACCCGTACACAGCAAGAATTCTTAATTTTGTGTTTTAAGTTGGCATAAAGTGCTAATA